ATCAATCTGATTTGTCGGCATCGCCTGCTGAAGTCGAACATTAACTTGCGCTATTGAGGATGCCTGCAGACTGTTCCAATTAGCGATATTCGATGTACCACCAATTCGATTGATATTAGATGATGAGTTTCTATTTTGGGATTGTCGTGAACGAGGTTCATAGTCGATATACGTGGGTGGAGGAACAAAATTATTAGATTGTGAAGTTTGTATATTCAGTGTGTGACGAGAACGAGGCCCTCCATGACTCAGGAATATCGATGAAGAGGTATTATTAAATCCATTTCCCGTGGAATCATTAGATCGCGAAGGTTGCAGGCTCAGAGACAGGCGGGAGCGAAATTCATGTTCCATGGATATGGGTTGAGGTGCATTGCTGACTTTGGATGAGAAACTCGGTGTTTGTGTGTCTAACGTGATGATTCTGATGTCATTTTCTACGTCATCGGCGCCTAGCTTGTCATCAGATCGCATCTGTAATAACATGAAATTCATTCGAGACATTTTGATTAAGAATAAATTTTAGAACAAAAGCAAATAATTTTCTAACTTATTTATCTGTGTATAAAAAAGGATATTCAACGTAAATTCGCGACAGTTTTTACGCTCGAAATCGTTCATAGCAGGCTGGACGGAACCTTCTTTAACGATAAGGTCTAAGAATTTGGATTGATACCTCGTCGCTACATTTCATAAGAAACACAGCGTATTAGAGCCAAGGTAATTAATTCGAGCATATTACAAGACAGAAAAAAAAACCAACATACTTAATTCGTTATATTCCCGTTTTGTTTGATACTTTGATATTTCAAGTTTGTTTAATAATTCTTTCCTCAATTCACGTCTTTCGTTCTTAAAGGCAAATAAATTATTTCAGAAACTCCTAGAAAACTATCAAAAGCATGGAGGCACAACTTACCACATACTGTTGTTTAATTTGCAAAACGCCCGCATCATATTCTTTGTTTGCATGCGCAAACCCGTGATCCCTTTTTTGTCGTTGGAGTTCTCGCGTTTTTTGATATTCTTCGTCTACCCGCTTCATTTCCTCTACATACTTGGGGTGCGTCCCGGCCTTTAGGGTTGCCTCCTCTTCTTCCAGCTCTTTCTTCTTATATGCTAATAAACTGTTGAGAAAACAAATCAAGGTGTGAGCGTTGAATTTTCTCAAGATTGAAAAAAAACAACAAGCGACAGCATATTTACCGTTCTCGAAGCTCTTTAAAATAACCTGCCTTATCTTCTCCTCTGTTTCTCTTTCGACGATATTCCCGCTTGACTTTCAAACCATCGGCGTCGTCTGAGGAGTGACTCAAGTAATCAATCTCAATGGTTTTTGCTTATGTTTTGTGGCGATAAAAAAAAAGAAGAGGGAATTCAGTTTCTTGCATAAATTAAACATTAAAAATAAGAAAGACCTACCTGTGGTCTGCTTTGCTTTGGCAATTTTCTTGGAGGTTGTGCCAACTTTCTTTTTGCTCTTGAAATTGCGACTTTTCTGCTTCGCTGAACCTTCTGGGGTTTGATGTGGAGGGTCAACTGAACTAGAACGCGTTGTGGTCGTAGACACTGTAGCTGACGGTGTTACAATGTCTATGGAATCGGATTGGATTTTCTCCGCATCAGCTCTTCCTGCAAACCATTTCTTTTGCATTAGAAATTAGGTCAAACTTGATATACTGTATCTTTCGTAAAGCAAACCATACTCTACCTTCCGCGGTAGGACCGTGCTCCCTGCTCTTTGCCGGAGGCTCTGTTCTCGCTGACGCTCTGGTGTTCAACCGTTCTGTGCTTTTAGGCCCTTTGGATTTATTCTTCAACTTGTTGGTCATTGTTTATAAATGAATTAAAAAGGAAAAAAAAAGGTGTAGGTGTATTAAGATAAAAAACGGAGAGAAATTTTATAGAATCAGTTATTTCATGAGAATTCTACGTGATTGGATGATTTCATGTTGAACAAACTGCGCGTGTTCAAAAATTATAAAAAGGCCCCAAATCCCCTCTTCCTTAATCAAAGAGAGACCGATCTCATCATATTTTGCATTGCGATTCGTGATTCATTTTTCTTTTTTTTGACATTCACATAAGCATTATATACAACTGCCAGCGAGATGTCCTTAAATGGACAATTTCTTGCAGGTCAAGAGTTATATGAAAAAATTGAAAATACGAGTTTAGCTTCTTCTGATCCAGTATATCAGGTATCGTTGATACTCGCATTCAGGCGGTCCACCTAATAATTCCTTCCGACTAACAAATTTCTATGATCGATTGCAGGAAGACGTGAAGAATGCAATTTTACTTTTTTCCAAATGCGCCGAATTAGTCAGCAAACTTAATCTCTTCAGTCCGAATGAAACCGTGGACGATATTAATTCAGTCGATTTGAGGTTGGAAACAGGTGTAAACAATTTTTGGTTATCTCGAAAGTCTTTCCTCTCATAACTGAATATTTGACACAGATTCCTTTTGGTGGAAGCGTATCTTGGTGACTTGACATCCAAGTTGGTTAATGACAACCGAGTTCAGACCTTAAACACGGCAAAGGTGCATATGATATAAATATTTCCAATATATTTACGCGATGGTCCGTCCAGAAGCGTAGACGATCAATAATGAAATTTAAATTTTATTATTGAAGAGGTATTTTGAACAGTTTTTGCGAAACGGTGATTTATATGAAATCCTTAAAGAGGATGCAAGTATTCTTGATTTTACTCTGTCGGAGACTCCTTCCGGTGTCACAGTTCGATTCCGATAACCGACGTTATCTTGTAGGACGAAAGATTCATGAAGCAAGAAATTAGCGAAAAAAGCAAAGACGCTGCAAAGAGACGTGAGGAAAAGATTGCACGTTTCAAGCGAGAAAAAGAAACCAAAGCAAGATTAGAGGTGAATGTTTGTTTAGTGTTGCGACACACTTTTTTTTTTAAAAGCATGTGGGTCTTATCTCCCTATTTCTTTGCTGACAGAAACTGCAGAAACAATTGTCTTCCGTCGGAGATGAGGATAAAGAAGATGTCAATAGGGAACACGTTTTGACCCTTATCGATCTTTTCATTCAAAAATCGATTGAACAATTAATTTCAATCAATCAGGAGATCAATTTATTAAATCAAATGAATGAATTAGGGGATCGTGCAAGACGCGACGCTTCCTCGAAGAAGGCTAATGATGACAGAGTTGAACATACAATCAAAGATGACAGCAGCCCCTTATTATCATCGGATGGACGTGTAGGCATCCATATGTACTTTGCAATGCGATTTATCTGAATTAATATAATTCTCCTTGATTCTAGATTCTCCGTCCATTTGTAATTACCAACAAACGTGAGGAAATACGACAGCAAGTATTCCGACCCGGTTGGCGCCTTCCTACAATGACCATCGACGAATATCTTCAACAAGAGGCAGAACGGGGAAATATCATTGTTGGAGGAGGGTACGAAGGAACGAACATATAGCTTGTCTTTACGTGCATCTCTTGAGTAGATAAGTAAAAAAACGAATTAATTTTATTTAGTCAAATGCCAGAGAAGAAAGTCATCGATGACAATGACGAGAGCGCTATAGATGCAGAAACGTATAAAGCACGAGAATGGGACGATTTCAAGGATGATAATCCACGCGGTTGGGGTAAGCTCAAAGATATCTTCAAGTCACTTTCTTTTATAATAAGAACTAACGATGAACCTTTATCGACTAGGAAATAAAATTGGTAAAGGTTAAGTCCAATACTAACTCGTTGATATTGAAGCTCAATCGAAAATCATGATTCATTCAAACAAAAACAAAAATATTAAATTAAATTTCGATTTAATATCTTCTAATTTAATTGAAAACATCAATAAAAGCGGAAAATTTTCAATATTAAAAATTCTTCACGCTCAGAAAAGAAAATGAAAGAACCTGATGTCTTTTCTTATACAACTTGTAATAAAGATGACCAAGTTTTAGGCACCCAAAAAGCATTTGCAAATATATTTTACCAGGGTTCAACTACTCAAAGGCATTAACCACACTAAGATCTTCAATAGCACCGTAACATTTCAATAATTCAAATATTTCGCCAAAACCCTTTTCCACAGCGTACTTTAAAGTTTTTGAACTTGGCTGAGCACCATGATCAAGTAACAACTTGACCATCTCAAGGTTTCCTTTCCCAACACCAACACTCAGCGCTAAATTATCTCTAATATCTACCTTGGCCCCGTAGTGGATTAAAAGTTTTACCATTCTGATATTACCAATTTGTACTGACTTGACAATTGGATAACCTTCAGACTCGTTTGGTGAAGCTTTACGCTTAAGAAGGATTTCAGTCAACTCGAGAAGTCGATCGTTCGAATCACCGAAAAACCATTGAGGAATAGGTCGACCCTCGCAAAGAATCTCGGGGGGTGGTGGGATGACACCGTCTCGAATACTTTGCTGTTGGTATAAATTGTCCAACTGGTTGAGAATTTCCTTGTTAAAAAATTTCCATTTGAGGCCTCTAAAAAAAGCTTTTTTGTAATCGTTCTTATACTTGCACAGAAGCCACTGAGTCTTTACACTCGTTTGAGAATTTGCAGCTTTGTAGAAATTTTGAGACACTCGAGGAAAGTGTGGGTTTCCAGACAGAATAAAAATGTATTGCAAAACTTCGAGGGGAAGTCGTTGTATGTTTTCATTAGACATCTTGAACTCTGAACAAGTCCATATCTAACGGGACATTAACATAATAGGTCGTGCGTACGTACGTAAGGGGAAAATCTTGAAAGTCGTAATGTTACACGGGTGAATGGACGAATGAGAATCACTTGAAAAATTTGACCCATACATGTCTTTTTAACAACCCCGGAACTAAATTTCATGGCGACATCGCAAAAGAACCTTTGCCTTTAATTTCATATTATCATATTATTATTATATTATAATTTTACTCTTGTCTTCTGTTGACAGAACTAATGAAAAGATGATGATGCAGTATTTACAAATTAATTTAAACTGACGCTCACAGATGAACCAGCAATCCTGAAAATTAATAAATATTACGTGAATTGTATGTATATACACATTAATCCTCCAAGAAAAAATAAAAATGAAGGGTGAGATCTACTTGTCATTGCTTAAACTTATAAAAATGAGATGCATTCCACTTTTCTTTTAACTCCACCATCTTAAATATTTTCCCTTTCGTAAAACAACATGTATGCTTCTTGTTCCAAAACTTTTGACAATTTAACCTCTTCGATGCTTTCGTCTGATAATCTCCACCAGCTATCCTGCCCTTCTTGACGTCGATATGTAACAAAGTGACCAAGTTTATGGTCACCTATGTGAGCTATGATTGCTTTTAATCTATAATGAATTCCGTCAGGTTGAGCACCGTCAATATCGGCAAATGGGGATAATATTGGCGAAGACAGTGATGATGACGGAGATGGTGGCGATGAAAGCGGTTCACTGGGCATGGTTGCCAAATAACCGGTGGTTGTATACTGCGTCAGATCAATTTTCTCTGGGAATAACACACGGCAAGGGTTCTTTAGCGTCATCCCATTTTGAAGATAGATAGATCGTGAAAAATGAAGAGCCATCACTTTTGGAAGCTTTGCGAACATGGTTTGTTTGCTGGCCAGAAAATTCATATGCACCAGTTTTGTCACTTCCTCTTCCCAAACAACAAGACGTAACTCTTGAAAATCTTCTCCGAACATATTCTGAAATTGAATTTATCGACGAATACAACTGTCCACAATGTAGTTTGCTTGAAACCTTGACTATTATCGAAAAAGAATTGATATAATAAATGGGGTGGCCATCGCAAATATCGCGATGGTGGTAACCACCAATTGTAGGTTGCTCAAGTCCATAGTATCGATATTCTATGTTTCGTTCTTCGCAAAAGACTGTTTATTTTTGTTACGTGATAACAACAGTATTTAACATTATTCAAAATATTGGTGTAACTATTTGTAATTTAACTTATCGTTATCAGCACGCATTTTTAACTCATCGTTATCAGCATGATAATGCAAGTACTATAGGTTTATTAATTGTCTAACCTACTTATTGGTTTCCCATTTCAAAAAAATAATTACCGTATATAAATAAATACGGAAATTGATTTCTAAATAAATTCTTTTTATTATTATAATAACAATCCTATATATGATAATTATTATCATTTAATATTTAAAAAAAATTTTTTTTTTAATTGCAAATAGGCATCAAATTAGATGTGAGAACTTTATTAATCAGATTTTTATGCTTCTAATTTTACAAATACACTACAGTATAGAAAAAAAAAAATGATAATGTGTAAAGTACTTTAATGTCTTGGATTAAATAAAATAGAATGAACAAAAATCAAGCTAGATCTGATAGGAAATATAAAGAAAAAAATTTATCAATCATTATTACAAACCTTATATAGAACATACCGTATTATATTGTTATAAACATGTTAAAACCGGGGTTTTGAAAATTTAAAATAATTATTAAAAAAAAAGAATTACGTAATAATTTTCAAGTGGTCTAATGGTTTTAAAAATTTTTTTTAACCATATATGATTTTCTTTGAGCGTCAAATAAAATACGGATTAAATATATGGTGCATAAATTGTTAGAATTAATAATCTAGAATCAAATTTTGATTCAATTCATGTTAATTAATATACAGTATTTCTTAAACAAACATAAATAACCATCTCGAAGATAATGCGTCCGTATGATTCGCGACGTTTACATTTTGTTACAAATCTACATGGTAACATCGATATCCTTAATATTCACCGTCTGTTTACTTGATCTATAAAAATTACTATTTTACAAATAAGTGATAAACTTTAAAGTTTTTCAGTGTCTTATGGAAAAATCACGACTAATTCTATGGAGTGTTATTACCGAGTTTTTTTTCTTTTTTATACGATACCTAACGCGCGAATTCAAAATCCGATGAAACTAACTAAATATTGAATTGTAAGTTGCAAAGAAACCGGACCTTATTGTATGCTATTTGTAACTGATAATAAATAGGAATCTGTCTTAATTAGAAAATGATCATAGTACAGCAACAATTTTTTCCACGTCAAATTTAAAGCCGGTCATAGGATTTTCACCATATCTATAATGTTTTCCATCCAAACCCATTCCTTCCTGTGGTAAAGTGTCGCCCGGTGGAATGAACGTATGAATTCGATTAAGGTGTTCATGACGAACCCCTAAATTTGGTGTTATTTCGGTCAAACTTGTGGTGCTAGGGTAAATAATGCTGGTTTCATGATCACTTAGTTTTCCATCATTAGAGTTTAGATTTACAATATAATCAGCCATGAACGAATTATCTTTTTCACCTTCAGTACAAAAAGGTTCAACTTTAGTCTGATTGAACTCGTCCACAGAGAGGTTATAATCCTGGGATATTGAAGATCCATTATTTCCTGGAGCCGGCGAACTTGAATTAACGATGCCTTCGTTGGATGGACTACCCAATTTTAAAAGATTCAATAGAGCTCTTTCCTGAGCTTGAATTTCCGCGTCAAATACTTTTGGAGAAAAGTAATTGCCTTGCGGCGGAGATGCTGTTATTAAACGTAACAAAGACTCGTTGTTTGCTCTTAACGAACTAGGTATACCTGAGGTGCCCGGATTTGCGTTTATATCAGGGGAATGGTCGTGACTAAGAACGGAAGCTGAAAAAAATGTATTTTGACTCTTGACAGGATTAACTACAGTAGGCTTATGTGTGGTGGGTGAATTTTTGCTATCATTTGATGAATACTTCGCAGAACATAAACCTAACAATGACATTTTTCTCGAAACTTCACGAATCTCAGGGTTCACATTGTCTTTGTTATTGCTGGATGGCCTTCCTTGACCAATATGTCCAACGTTAGTTGATAACTTTGGGGTTTGAATCTCCTGGCTGGAGTGTCTGCTAAACGCCGAATCTCGTCGATTTTTCATCAAATTAGAATCATTATTTGTGCCCGAAGTCGTAGTCGTGAACATTGTATTTCCTTGGGTGATTTCGTGTTGAAACATTGTAAAATCTCCATTTCCAACTTGATCCTCTAGTTTTGATTCGCTGTCTGGAGGATTAACAGAATTATAAGAATTAGGCAGATAATTGAATAAAGACTGCTGCATTCGATGTTGAACGATATCCTCATGTGTCAATGAAGTCTTTCTACTCCCATTAGATGTGGGCGCGTCTGATTGGAGAACACTAAGTAATGAATTTCTGCGCTGAGCATCACTATCTATAACTTTTGAAGTCACCGGAGTAACCTCTTTAGTTGAAGTTGGTGCAGTAAATAAACTTAACAATGAATTCCGACGAAGTCGTTGCTCCGAATCCAAGGCAGCAATAGACACGTTAGAATTAGCACGTATAGGTATAGGTGCTGTTATATCGCGTTTATCGTTTGTAGGAACTGATGTATGAGAGTTTGGATAAACAGATGTAATTGAAGGTTTCGTTCCCGACTTAACCATTGCCGACGCTTTATCATATTGCTGTCCAGTAGCCAATGTCGATTGGTTATAAGGTAAATGAGCATTGATTATTGAGGTATTAGGTATTATGGATGACTGATTGAGAGGAAGAGAAGTTGAGGGATAAGAATGCGTGTGTGTGAACCTGTTAGGTGTCACCGTCAGATCATCATCGTAATTTATCCGCTCTGATGGTCTATGTTTCTGCAAATATGAAGGATTCGAATTAGAAGTATCAATCCCAAGTATAGTTTTCATAATATTATGTGAGGTATCGTGATCTCTCGGTGAAGGCTGTCTCAAATATTCGCTGAAATTCGGTGATTGTTCTTGAGGACTTCCTTCGCTTTCTGTTCCTGGTACAGACGTTTCTGGAGAAGTTTCCTTTTGACCTAAATCCGTATGATTATTAAATATAGTCACTTCAGAAGATTCCTCTGTCCCGGCAATCCTCTTGCGATTCAATTTTTTTTGCATTTTAAGCCAGTTACGTAGCTTGCTTAAAATTGTAAATAGCATACATTTCGTGAGATCTTTTAGGAAAGTGTGGAGATTTTCATGCGCCCATAACATGTGCATACCTCACAAATGGAACGACCATATAAAATCGACTACTTCCATATTTCACGCATCCACCTCCACAACGATATGGAGTATCTCTATCACGACTTCTAATCCACGTTGGCAGATCAGCCACTTTATGCCATTCCACTTTCTATTTAGATTTATAAAATTTAGTTGATCCTGATAAAAAAGGATTTTAGTGACAAACTGATAACGCACGCTTATTTCTTTACGAGTCCTTGGACAAAATTCGGTATTCTCAGGAACTCCAACGGCAATATATAGTCTTATGCGTTGTTCTCTAATTGTTAACTCCACATAATCCTGTTCTTTAATTAGAGGAGATATATCATATCCAGTTTCTTCCAGGACCTAATATTTCATGTTTATTAATTTTTTTGTTTACACATACCATTAAACTTTAATAAGGCATACCTCCCGGGCTGCACAAGTCGAATCTGGCTCATCTTTATTTATTTTCCCTTTCGGAAAGCCCCAGCCTGAACGAGAAGACCATCCTTTTACCAGCACGCACTTTTGTGGAATAGATTTCGCGTATAAGGTCTGTAAAGAAACATACTTGACGTCAAGTAGAAATATGCAATATGTAATTACCTGATCCATTTTATCGTTCAACATGATAGCCCCACATACTGGAACTCGAATTTTATACTGCATGAAATCGGCGAAAGCTTTCTCGTGCTCGTGTGACCATTGGTGTAAAAGTGGGCAATGCTTGAAAAGTGTGAACGAATCAAGGTAATATTGACACATTCAAATTAGAAATAAGTTTTAAGATCTTAAATGCAAGGATATATTTTGCTGAAAAGTTTTTAAGGTTAAAACTTGGTAGGTTAGGGTTTTGTTCCCTGACAAAGTCTTCATAAAACCAATGTGCTTGCTCAATCTGAAAACATATACGCTCAATAGAAGCCAACTCTTCTTCTGGGACATTAATTATAAACCGACTAAGAAATATTTGTAAAAGACGTGTTAAAGGTGAATCGATATTTAAAACGCCCGGTCATACGACCAACCTTGACAAGTCGTCCAAAATTTCCGAGAAGGTAGCATTTGCCAGGGCCATAATCGGATATATAAAGATAATTAAAAAAAATATTTGTTTAGTTGTAACTTTACAGTGGAAAGTTAGCTTAATTCCTTTATAGAACTAGAAGAACATTTAGGAAGATGAAGAAACTATATGTCCATTGTAAACTTTATTTACGAGTATAACCAATCGGATTTTTGATTTTCTAATAGTTAAGAATACAAATTAGGAATGGATTAGTAATAATTTAATCTTAAAATAACTACAGTATAAGAAATAATTATTTATTTAAATTTATTTAAATATCTATTATTATACGGTACTTAAAAAAAATTATTTAAAAAATTATTGCACAAACTACAGTATATTTTAATTTTAATATAAACTGTTTGTTAATATGACTTATAAAAATCGTTAATTTAATAGAAATTACTATATTAAATTATCACATATCTAAAATAAAAATCGAATGGACAAAAACATCTAAAGGAAAATCCTTGTCTTGGATTTTTTTAAATTTTTTAAATTTACATTGGAAAACATGTGATCCATTCGTTCAATAATGTGTGACATTTCCTTACCTCTGAGAGCCATACACGTGTTAACATGGTTAAACGTGCAAGAATTGATAGCACTGTTAGAGCAAATGCCATAAATTCAGTTTGGTGCAAGAGTAATTTAAAATTACTAAAATGAAAATTAAATTGCATTAGTATGTAAAGATGTGGTAGTGAATGTGCTAAATGTCTTAGAACTCATTTACGTGTACGCATCAAGGTATGATCCTAAGGCCTATTTGGCATTAATATCAAAGTTTAACTTGTTAGAAAGACAAGTAACTTGTCTCAAATCTTGAATCATGCATAACAAATTTACCCTATCCATTAGCAAGATGGCACAGTTTAGCCTATTTAATACATGAAACCCCATGACTCGTGATGGGACATAATCCCATCGGTTTTGACGTTGTTTTTCTCTTCAAAGTCAAAGGTCATAAATATAAGATGCTGTGCATGCAATTCCACAAATCTCACTGCAACGAATCTTTAATACACTTACTGATCGTGACCGTAAAATAATTTAACGAATTCCGATAATAAATCGCCAATTTCCATTTCTTTGAACCTATGGACAATCCTCCTTACCTGAAAAGGTTTAGATTAAGAAGACATGAACTTCAAGTAACCATTAACTATTCGACATCTTTTTACCTCTTCAATCTTACGGAAATATATCGCCCGCTTATGCTGATTCTTATTCTTGTAATAAAGCCTTTCCAAAAAATGTAATTCCTCCCATAATTCGTTTCTTTGAAAATAAAGGGCAAAAGTCGAAAGTTGATTGAAATTTTCATAATGTTCTTGATGTCGAATCGTTGATGAGAAAAGTATTGATTTTGGATGATAAATGATGGGTGGTTTCATAAGGTATCGAGATATTTGGGAAGAGACCTGATGCACTGAACCATCATCATCAATGACTTTCATGATTCGAAAAAAAATTGATCAGCATATGTTCAACAAAAAAATTTTTTTATTTTGCAACTTCCTCCAGATCTAACATTCAAAATTTAATTCACTCATGTATAGATAGATAGCTCTTAATATAAAATGTATGCAAAATTTCAAATCAATATGAGAATCCTGAGTGACTGAATTGCTTTTGTTCAGCTGTTCATTAGAATGCGCTAATTAGTTAGGAATAGTTGCAACTTGTCGAAAAGAAATTTTAATTTTCACTTACTGGAATACCAAACTGGTATAGCAATTTCAGCTCCTGTCGTTTTTATCACAACCTTTCTACGTATCCATTTTCGTGGTTGAGCTCTCTTAGGTCGTTCTACACTATTACCTGAATGAGTTTTAACATCTTCGGAAAAGGGGATTTGTTGGGATAGCGGAGACGACACAATAGCTATGAATGATTGTGTGCATTAGTAATTTTAATAATAAACGAAGATGGTATAGAAAATCATGCAAGGAAACCACTTTACCCTCTTGCTCATTTGTAATATATGAATCAACGTTTTGTGAAAAATTTGTCTCACTGTAAACGGTCCTTTCCGATAAAAAGGAATTCACTTTTAAAAAAACGCAACATCCTGAACTGAAGAATCGCCGAAGTATAACTTACTCGGAAGAGACTTCTGATGAAATATTATTGGCTTCTTTTTCTTTTCCTTTGCTACCATTTCCGACTCCTTTGGGGTTAAAAGTGATTATTTTGAAGTTTTCTGTCGTGCGTACTATTTTAGAAGGCTTTTCGCTAGTTACTTCTTCGGTAATATCTATAGACTTACGAGGGCGACCTCTTCGTTCAATTTTAAGAGACGTGCTTTCTTCAACCTTTATCTCCGGAGCAGGTGTGGGTACACTCGTAGTTGAATTTCGGAGTTTCCGTTTGATTACCATTTTGTCAGATTGTCGCAAGTTGGAAATATCATCTTTGGAACCTTTTATATATACGTAGTATTCCCTTTATGTAGATCCATTCAAATCGCGTAGTTATTACCTTATAATGTTTATCGTCTATTCACAAAGCAATCAAGAAATATCTCTACAAGTGCAATAGCATATTGCACACGTCTAAACTATCTATGCTAGTGCGTCTAACATACTTATATTTATTGAATTCATCAAATTCATCTAAAATACTTTATTAAAATAGTGCTAGGATTATGAAAATATATAGTACTATATACTTGATTAAATAAAATATCTTATAATTTTTTAAAAAATGTATTCATATATATTCATATATTAATTTTAAAAATATTCATTAGCTTTACGCTTTATAATAATTTTTATAAATAGTAATATATTTCATTGACAGATTCTCATACTTTGAAAATTTTCAACAATTTATTATATCGAAAATTTAAATTGAGCGCAAAGGTCTAATAATTGAGAGCAAATTACAAGGTTCTCAGATATTAGTATTCAAATTACGATATTTCATATCGGATTCTGATATAAATGGTTCGATTCTAATAGTTAAATGCAAAATTTATATAATAAATGGTAACTAAAGATGCAAATTTTAATTAATAATGCCCATTTCATCACCAACCAAGAAACTATTATAGGAATTTACAGAGAAAATAATTAAAGAAATAAAACCATCGCATTTTATATAGGCTGCGAAGAATCTGTCAACATTCTCTTCAGCATCGAGCCCCAAGAATCACTTGCTGTGGGAATGACGATCTGTATGTGAAACGGAATAAAGATTCAATTTTAGCCACAATCTAATTTTGATAAAATGTAAAATAAGCAACAAACCTGATAAGGAAACGGGTTTTCGTCTGAAGTTGTTATTGGTGGAATGTGATCCTTCTTGTCGTTAACAAATCGTATAATATCAAAAAGGCAAGAAGAAAGTTGTCTGTCCATCTCTTTACGTATCCTCAATCTCTCTATAAATATTTTAGATCTTTTACTAAATCTCACAAGCCTCAAATCTATATTTTGATAAATATTATTTACCACGGTCAGTAGGACATATTGTTGTTGTTATGGTGACAGCCCACTGTTCCCAACAAATTTCTTCTTCAGATTTAGAGAACCAAGCCTTTTTTGTTCGCTTTTCGTGAAACATCACAGCGATCTGAAATTTTGTAAAGACTGAATTAAAGACCAACTGTATAACCATCTGAAACAAGAATTCCAAAAAACTTTTACCTGCCCCTTATGACTTCCATTATTTTCTAGATTACTCTTGAATTGCTCCACCTTATCTTCGACGGCTTTTTCAATTTCTGGATCATCTATCGCTGACTTATTAAGTATAACAGTAACATTATATTAGAACATGAAAATTAATTTTTTAGAAAAGAAAAATACATACGTATGTGATATCCAATAAATCAACTTCTTTCGGCCTTATATTTCCAAAAACTCTATAAAATAATATGGTATGCAATATTGCTTTTGCGTGAAGAAAGTTTGTAAGAGAAAATTCAAATCTTTTAAAAAATGTCTATTATCACTTTCATACCACGTAGAACTTCAGCGACAAAATCCCTATCTATCGTCTGATAAAAGATTGATTTTAGAACACCCCGTCGATGTATTTTCAAAACAATCAAATGTGTATATAATTTAATACCAGGTCAATTGAAAAAACTTCCGGCGCCATCGTATGTTTTACTACGCTATTAAATGTCCGCTTTTATACGGATAACCCTTGATCATTATCATTATCATACACACCCTAATCATCATAGAAATTAAAGTTTTACAGACCTTACCCAAAAATGGAAACAGATAGATAATTTTATAGTGTAAATTGTTACATATATTTAGAAGTCGCATGGATTTTTAAAAATAATAATATTTTTTTTTGATAAAAATTATCAAAAATTATTATGAAATAATTTATTCATTGTTTTATAAAATATATGCAATAAGGTGTAAAGAAAAACAATTGTCAAATATTTAATTCTATTTTAATAATTAATTAATTATATTATATAAAGCTTTATTACTTTTTTTTTTTAATACCATTAATTAAAATTAAAAAAAAACAATAGAATTTAAATTAATATTAAATAATCACTTATTTTAAAATATAATAATAATAACAATATTTAAATTATAATAACTCACATAAATAACCAATTACCATTTGATTTTTATTAAAAAAAAGTATAAAAAATTAAAAATCAAAAATCTATTTTCAATAACTTATCTAAATAACAACTTATTTAAATAATAAATATTTTAAAATTTTATTGATATTTTGAAATTAAAAATTAGTATTCTTGACAAATATTTTTTTGAAAAAATAAATTTACATTTAAAATAGAAATATTAATTAATAAAAGGGTTTTTTTATTAATATATATATAAGTTTTTTAAAAAAAATTTAAAAATTATTTATATATTTTTTATATATGCAATAGTACTCAAAATTTTTTGAAATTTTTTTCAATATATAATATATAATAAAACTTTTTAAAATTTTTTATTTATTTGTTATTTAAAAAATATTGCATAAAAATAAATAATAATATATTAAAATAAAATTTAAAATCTGATAATTTTAATAATAAAATTTTATATAAAAATATATTTTAAAAAAATTTTTTTTTATAAATAGATATTAAATATAAAATCTTTATTATATTTTTATTTATTATTATTATATTAATAATCTTTAACATATAAAATAAATAGATTAATTATAACTTATTGCAAATAAAAATAATATATATGAATCTTTGAAAATTCAAATAAATAAAAATAAATAAATAATAACTAAGTATCAATTATATCATTAATTATACAGTATATATAGAAGTATCCAAAATTATTTGAATTTTTTTTCAATATGTATAACTTAATAAAAACTTATCAAAATCAGACACAAATATAAATATAAATATATAAATACTATAAAATTACTTTTACTTATAACTAGTTTATAGATTATATTATTATTATTATTTT